CAGCTATTTTAAGATCTGTCCTTGCCCGTCTTGGGTATGTGGCTAACATTGAGGTGTCTTGTCACATATGATCACCCCATAACCCCAGTACACTGCCAAACTCAAGTAGAGGCCCTGAGGAAATAAAAAAGTAAGCGGGCAGAGGTTACTGACTGAGAACATAACTATCTTTTCCTTCAGGTCATAGCCTCCAATTGAACATTTTCCTGAGTCCGTTGGCCTTCCCGAGATGGTTCTTAGTTCTGCAGTAAGGCTTGACATCAGCAAGAAGGAGATAGGGTCCGGGTCATCACTCAGTGGTAGAGCACTTGTTTAACATGTGCCAGGCCCTGGGTTCGTCCGCAATACCTCAACGGGGACAAAGGAGTGCTGGTGGTGTGGCTCAGCCTTAGAGAGCTTGTTTAGCATCCAAGAAGGCCTGGGCTGGGTCTCCAGCACTGGGGTAAAGGGAGGAGGGTAATGAGAAACAATTCTGAGACTATTGAACCAGATACAGAAAGGCAAATAAAACTGAATGTATTCTCATATTGTGTGTTTGCATTTATAATGAAGCATCCTACAGGAAATCCAGTCGTAGGGCCCAAGATGAATTTCACCACATCCGTGGCCTGGCTCTTGCCTTTGCCCTGTATTTGGAACAAGTGCTAACTCCAAACTTCTGCATGACAGGAGCTTCAGGATGCCCTAGAGATGTGGGATTAGGAGGTCAGGTGCCAGCAGACCAAGGGAGCCGCAGTAGAGTAGGAAGGGGAGGGAGGATAAAAGACATTAAATAAAGAAAGGAAGGGGGAGAGGAAGGGGGAGACCAGGAAGGAAGAGGCAACCATTTAGGGCTGGAGTTAAGCATGAATCAGCACATTAGGCTGGGACTAGAATAGGCAACCGGATCTTGGGCTCTATAAATCACCCACAACTGGGGAGCTGATAACTCTGCTCTGTCCTGGTCAGGGCACAGGGTGTAAGAACAGCCCAGGAGAAACAAAAGGGGGAACTGAAAGGAGAAGTTTTGGCAGATGAGAAGCAGGTCTTCACAGCATCACTAAAGGGCAGACAGGAGGACTGGGGGAGTAGACAGTACTACAGGGGGAACTGGCTGAGGCAGCTCCTCCTGCCAGCCAGCCGTGGGGAGACATTGCAGCACTGTCACTGGCAGACCACCGTCCCCATCCTAAAGCGGGATCCTTGCCTATGCAAGGAAAGAGTTTCAGGATGCATGGAGTGAAACAGATTGTGCTTCTTAAATAGAGATGAGGGGTCATATGCTTTAGACCTTAGATTTAGAGTCAAGACACACACGTAGGAAGAAGACAATACCCATCCAAGTGTGGGTGGGCCTATCAAGACACACTTAGGTGTCTTTATAGTAGCAAACTACATATTTATATAATATATAGCAATTGTATGGCTTTCTAAGATATATTGTTTAGGGGCTGGAGAGATGGCTCAGAGGTTAAGAGCACTGACTGTTCTTCTAGAGGTCCTGAGTTCAATTCCCAGCAACCACATGGTGGCTCACAACCACCTTGAATGAGATCTGGTGCCCTCTGCTGGCATGCAGGCAGAAGACTTTATACACAATAAATAAATAAAATATTTTTAAAAAGATATATTGTTTAAAAGATGTAATTTACAACAAAGTTTAAAGGCTAAACAAGGTTGGGTTAGAGAGATGGCTCAGCAGTTAGGAGCACCTGCTGCTCTCCCAAAAGACCCAGGTTCAGTTCCCAATATCCACATGGCAGGTCACAACCCCCTGTAACTCCAGCACCCCACGATCCAACACTCCCTTCTGGCCTCTTGGGCACCGCACTCAAACAGACATCCACATAAAAATAAAACAAACCTTTAAAGAAATAAACACAGATCAAACATTAAAACTTAAGCTAAAAATATAGGAACTGATTTACTTATTTTTCTTATGTGAAAAAATTTCATTTTGTAAATGAAATTGTAAGGTAGCATCATGAGTGCACTTCTGAGGTTTAGGGATGAGAATCCTAAACCAGTTAAATTCATAGTCACAATCTGGTCCTAAATAATAAGCAGTTTGTTGTTAGCTGTGTGATCTCTCTCTCTCTCTCTCTCTCTCTCTCTCTCTCTCTCTCTCTCTCTCTCTCTCTCTCTCTGACACAGGGTCTCATTATGTAGCCCTGTCTGGCCTGGAACTCATTAGGTAGACCAGGCTAGACCCAAACTCCCAGAAATCTACCTGCCTCTGCCTCCTGAGTGCTCTTATTAATGCCTGGCCCATAGTTTGCTCTCGCCATTGTCTAGATTTACTTGTCTTTAAATCTGTGAATGTTGGGGTGGGGGGTCTGTGCACATGAGTGCAGGTGCTCTTGGAGGTCAGAGGCATCAAACCACTCTGAACCAGGGGTTCAGTGGGCTCTGAGACAACCTGGGTACTGGGAACTGAACTCAGGTCCTCTGTAAGAGCAGTATGCTCTTAACCAATGAGCCGTCTCTCCAGCCTTGAGCATTTTGATTTTGTAAGTCATGCTGAAGCTTCTGACTTCCAATCAGATTCTGAAGCAAGAGGCTTCTTTCCCTCTGTTTCCCCTACACTTTCTTTTTCTTTTCTACTTCACTACTGTATTAGCAGAGTGTCTACATCACTGTGTACACAGTAACCTCTACATCACTGTGTATACAGTAACCTCTACATCACTGTATATACATTAACCTCTACATCACTGTGTACACTATAACCTCTGCATCACTGTGTACACTATAACCTCTACATCACTGTGTATACATAACCTCTACATCACTATGTACACAGTAACCCCTACATCACTGTGTGTACAGTAACCTCTACATCACTGTGTATATTATGTTTCACATCGCTGTGTATACAATATCCTCTTCATCACTGTGTATACTCTGACCTCTACATCACTGTGTATATTATATCTTTCACATCACTGTGTTTACTATAAGAGGCTGGACTGGGATCAGGATGTCTGAGTTCCTGTTGTAGTTCCACCACAGAGGAGTTGGGGTAATCTAGGAAAATTATCAGTCTTTCCTGTTATGAGAAACCATTTTCATGGGGTTTTGTTTTATTTTGTTTTGTTTTGTGTCAAAGGTAGTTAACCCAACAAAGGTCCATATCCCTTAAATCAGCCCATGCCATTTTGTGACATGCTTGTTGACACAACCCTTAGGCATTCCCAAACTTGATCTTACTCTTCTCCTTAGCACCAACTAGTCAATTGTATCAGAGAGCTTCCTAGTCAGGCAGAATAGTGCACACCTGTAATCCCAGCACTTGGAAGGCTGAAGCAGGATTGCCTGAGTTCTAGGCAGCATGGGCTACAGACCCCATCTCAAGCAAACACTAAGAAAGAAAAGAGTTTCCTAGAAGATAATAGTCAGGACACTCTGCTGAAGTTCTGTGACATCCTGAGAGTGACTTGGGTATTAGACTTCTGCTAATGACACCCTGGCTGCCATTTCTGTCTTCTCCCAGCATCTTAGCAGGACCAATGATCTCCGTATTTCTCTGCTCTTCCCTATTCTATATGAAGTCTTTCCATTTTCCTAATCTGCCTTTTTCAGGCCATCACCAAAACTAACATCCATTCCCTAACCACCTATTGCTTGAAAACTTTGTATCCATCTCTATAAATGAGTCAAGCACATTACCGGGTAATCATGATGGCCATAAGCACCATGAGACCAAGATAGCCTTTCATGCTTGACTTCCCAATGTCCTGCAATGCCTGGTACACTGATGACCTAGAGTGCAGTGTTTGGCTGAAAGACATAGAAAACAACGGCTGGCAACTTTTGGCAGGCCTCCAGCTTCCCTCTGCATTCCACAGGAAGTCGATTATGACATCTTCCTTTCCTTGAGGTACTTTTACTAGCTCTCTAAGATCTTGGAATAAATGATCCCCCCATGGAGCTTCATTGGAAGACCTATTCTCTAGAGAAACCACAGTTGTCACCCCTGTAGCCCCGCCCCAATTTGCATAATCCGTGTCTACATTCCCATTCTATGTCTGCCTAATGTGCTGTGCTTTGACTAGAAAGGCTTGCTCACCATTGCCCAATTCAGGCTTGTCTCATACTCTCCTCCTCAGCACATATTTATCTGTCTACCTATCATCTATCCATCCATCTATCCATCTATCTATCCATCCATTCATCCATCCATCTATCTATCCATCTATCCATCCATCCATCTATCTATCCATCCATCTATCCATCCATCCATCTATCTATCCATCTATCCATCTATCTATCCATCCATCTATCTATCTATCCATCCATCTATCTATCCATCTATCTATCCATCTATCCATCCATCTATCTATCCATCTATCTATCTATCTATCCATCTATCTATCCATCCATCTATCTATCCATCTATCTATCTATCTATCCATCCATCGATCCATCTATCTATTTATCCATCCATCCATCCATCCATCCATCCATCTATCTATCCATCCATCCATCTATCCATCTATCTATCTATCTATCTATCTATCCATCCATCTATCTATCCATCCATCTATCTATCCATCCATCTATCTATCCATCTATCTATCTATCTATCCATCTATCCATC